CCATGCCTCATGGGCAAGATGACTAAGACTCCGTTCTCCGGAACAATGGAGCGAGCAACTGACTTATTGGAAATAATACATACTGATGTATGTGATCCGATGAGTGTTGAGGCTCACGGCGGGTATCGTTATTTTCTAACCTTCACAGATGATTTGAGCAGATATGGGTATATCTTCTTGATGAAACATAAGTCTCAAACATTTGAAAAGTTCAAAGAATTTCAGAGTGAAGTGGAAAATCATCATGACAAGAAAATAAAGTTTCTACGATCTGATCGCAGAGACGAATATTTGAGTTACGAGTTTGGTCTTCAATTAAAACAATGTGGAATAGTTTCACAAATTTGTGCCACCTGGAACACCACAGCATAATGGTGTGTCCGAACGTCATAACCGTACTTTATTGGATATAGTGCAATCTATGATGTTTCTTACCGATTTACCACTATCATTTTGGGGTTATGCATTAGAGATAATTGCATTCACGTTAAAAAAGGGCACCATCTAAATCCGTTGAGACGACACCATATGAACTGTGGTTTAACAAGAAACCTAAGTTGTCGTTTCTTAAAGTTTGGGGTTGCGATGCTTATGTGAAAAAGTTTTCATCCTGATAAGCTCAAACCCAAATCAGAGAATTGTGTCTTCATAGGATACCCAAAGGAGACAGTTGGGTACACCTTCTATCACTGATCCGAAGGCAAGACATTTGTTGCTAAAAATGGATCCTTTCTAGGGAAGGTTTTCTCATGAAAGAAGTGAGTGGGAGGAAAGTAGAACTTGATGAGGTAACTGTACCTACTCCCTTATTGGAAAGTAGTTCATCACAGAAATCTGTTCCTGTGACTCCTACACCAACTAGTGAGGAAGCTAATGATAATGATCATGTAACTTCAGATCAAGTTACTACCGAACCTCAAAGGTAAACCAGAGTGAGATCCGCACCAGAGTGGTACGGTAATCCTGTTCTGGAGGTCATGTTACTTGACCATGACGAACCTACGAACTATGATGAAGCGGTGATGAGCCCAGATTCCGCAAAATGGCTTAAGGCCATGAAATCTGAGATGGGATCCATGTATGAGAACAAAGTATGGACTTTGGTTGACTTGCCCAATGATCGGCAAGCCATAGAAAATAAATGGATCTTCAAGATGAAGACGGACGCTGATAGTAGTGTTACTATCTACAAAGCTAGACTTGTCGAAAAAGGTTTTTGACAAAGTTTAAGGTGTTGACTACGATGAGATTTTCTCACTCATAGCGATGCTTAAGTCTGTCCGAATCATGTTAGCAATTGCCGCATTTTATGATTATGAAATTTGGCAAATGGATGTAAAGACTGCATTCCTGAATGGATTTCTGGAAGAAGAGTTGTATATGATGCAACCTGAAGGTTTTATCGATTCAAAGGATGCTAACAAAGTGTGCAAGCTCCAGTGATCCATCTATGGACTGGTGCAAGCATCTCGGAGTTGGAATATATGCTTTGATGAGTTGATCAAAGCATATAGTTTTATACAGACTTGCGGTGAAGCCTGTATTTACAAGAAAGTGAGTGGGAGCACTACAGCCTTTCTGATAAGTATATCTGAATGACATATTGTTGATCGGAAATGATGTAGATTTTTTTGGAAAGCATAAAGTGGGAGAAATTAGCTAAAGTAGCTCCGTGCAGAGCATCGTAGACATAGAAATTTGCAAAATACATACAGATCTGAAATTTGGCAGACCCGTTGACTAAACTTCTCTCACAAGCAAAACATGATCACACCTTAGTACTCGTTGGGTGTTAATCACATAACAATGTGAACTAGATGACCGACTCTAGTAAACCCTTTGAGTGTTGGTCACATGGCGATGTGAACTATGGTTGTTAATCATATAGTGATGTGAACTATTGGTGTTAACTCACATGGCGATGTGAACTAGATAATTGACTCTAGTGCAAGTGGGAGACTAAAGGAAATATGCCCTAGAGGCAATAATAAAGTTGTTATTTATATTTCCTTATATCATGATAAATGTTTATTATTCATGCTAAATTATATTAACCGGAAACTTAGTACATGTGTGAATACATAGACAAACAGAATGTCACTAGTATGCCTCTACTTGACTAGCTCGTTGAATCAAAGATGGTTAAGTTTCCTAGCCATAGACATGAGTTGTCATTTGATTAACGGGATCACATCATTAGAGAATGATGTGATTGACTTGACCCATTCCGTTAGCTTAGCACTTGATCGTTTAGTATGTTGATATTGCTTTCTTCATGACTTATACATGTTCCTATGACTATGAGATTATGCAACTCCCGTTTACCGGAGGAACACTTTGTGTGCTACCAAACGTCACAACGTAACTGGGTGATTATAAAGGTGCTCTACAGGTGTCTCCGAAGGTACTTGTTGAGTTGGCGTATTTCGAGATTAGGATTTGTCACTCCGATTATCGGAGAGGTATCTCTGGGCCCACTCGGTAACTATAAGCCTTGCAAGCATTGTAACTAATGAGTTAGTTGCGGGATGATGTATTATGGAACGAGTAAAGAGACTTGCCGGTAACGAAATTGAACTAGGTATTGAGATACCGACGATCGAACCTCGGGCAAGTAACATACCGATGACAAAGGGAACAACGTATGTTGTTATGCGGTTCGACCGATAAAGATCTTCGTAGAATATGTAGGAGCCAATATGGGTATCCAAGTTCCGCTATTGGTTATTGACCAGAGAGATGTCTCGGTCATGTCTAGATAGTTCTCGAACCCGTAGGGTCCGCACGCTTAACGTTCGTTGACGATATAGTAATATATGAGTTATGAATGTTGGTGACCGAATGTTGTTTGGAGTCCCGGATGAGATCACATACATGACGAGGAGCTCCAGAATGGTCCGAAGGTAAAGATTCATATATTGGATGATATGGTTAGGCCAAGGGGTCAGGCCCACGGGGCTATAAGTCGGTGCAAAAGGAGTTTTGCGGGGGCCAGGGGGCCAAACGCCGGTGACCCTGGCGTCTGGCCCTGGGCCAGACGCCAAGAATTGTGGCGTTTGGTCCTGGAGTCCGAGTGGGACTCTTGCCTTTCGGGCAAAACAGACTTTAAGGAGGCTTTTGCTCCAAGTTTCGACCCCAGGGCTCAACATATAAATAGAGGGGCAGTGCTAGCACCAAAGACACATCAAGAAACACCAAGCCGTGTGCCCGCTACCCCTTCCCCTCTAGTTTATCCTCCGTCATAGTTTTCGTAGTGCTTAGGCGAAGCCCTGCGGAGATTGTTCTTCACCAACACCGTCACCACACTGTCGTGCTGCGGAAACTCATCTACTACTTCGCCCCTCTTGCTGGATCAAGAAGGCGAGGGCGTCATCGAGCTGAACGTGTGCTGAACGCTTAGGTGCCATACGTTCGGTACTTGATCGGGACGGATCGTGAAGGTGTACGACTACATCAACCGCGTTGATAAAATGCTTCCACTTTCGGTCTACGAGGGTACGTAGATAACACTCTTCCCTCTCGTTGCTATGCATCACCTTGATCTTGCGTGTGCGTAGGATTTTTTTAAAAATTACCACGTTCCCCAACAATGCGTTGCTAGAGGCCGCTACCAAACGAGCAGGTCGGAGGTGATCCGACCTGTGACCAAGCCAATTTAAACCTAAGGGGTCGCGGGCTTAAGGGAAGGAACCTGTGAGGCCTGATCCAACTCCAGGAGTTAGATGTGATCCTACACGGACTTGGACCCCGGCCGAACAACTTTTGGGCTTTAGGATCCGTGCGAGGCCCAAGTGTTGAGCCCGCGACGGATGGCTATATATATTGGAGGTGCAACACACTTATTGAGTTGATCGCTTCAGCGCCGTCGTTAGGGCTTTGCATGTGTTGCAACTAGCCACATTCACTCGCCGCTGGTTGTGTGATCGGACCTAGCAGTCCATCGCACGACGGTCCTCCAGCTCGCGCGGATACCGTTAGAGGCGGTACACTTGCGCCGCTCCGGCGAACCTGTTCGCGGGATCCAATCGGCTATGTGGGAGATCGACGAGGAGGAGACAACTCCAGAGACGCGCTGCCCCAACTCTACTTCCACTGCACGACACTGCGCGTCTAGTGGTAACGATCCGTGATCCATCTCTGTAGCATGTTTCTAGATGTTCTATGGGTAGGAAAATTTTAATTTGCTGTTGACGCACCCTACCGTAGAACACAACAAATTTAACCATAAATAAAATGCAAAAATCACTATTACAATAATAGTTTAAATGTAAATATTACATTCGAGATAATCAAATGTTCAACCTTAGTGGTTGTAGAAACCTTAGTAGCACCCCAGGTCATGAGTTCAACTCCTAGTGGAAGCGGGATTAAATAGGTCTCGGAAAAAATTATGGAATACAACCTATTAACAGTCGCGCAAGAGGCGGTCGATGGGCGTGTCCACGTCATTCTTGATTTTACTGTATGGTATAGAAACTTGTTTTTTAGGTAAGAAACCTCCCCAGATAACGCCTCGCTGCAATCGAGCCGCACACGCACCCGCCGCCGCCGCCATCTCCCTTCGCAGGCACGTCTCTTCCTTCACTCGATTCCCTTGATCCCCTTCTCTTACGTTGCCTCCTCCCAATCCTTCCCCCCTTACTCGCACGGAGGTGGCTGCAGGAGAGGCGTGGCAAAGGAGGCTCGTGCAGGGGGTGGTGGTGGTGGGAGTGGGGAGTAAGAAAGAGCATGGAGGCGGCGGCGGCGGCTAGGAAGAGCGTGTGCGTGACCGGCGCAGGAGGCTTCATCGCCTCGTGGCTCATCAAGCTCCTCCTCTCCAAGGGCCACTAAATGGTCCGCGGCACCATGCGAGATCCCGGTAAGGACCCTCCTCGCTTCGATCCGTCCATCCCAGCCCCCGAAGATCCAGCCTCAGCTCATGCTCGCGCTGCTCCCGCCCAACGACGCCGTCTGCGTCGAACTGAAAGCCTGCGGAGGACGGGGACGAGGTCGGGGTGGAGATGTGGATCGTTTTCTTTGGATCCCCAACTGAAGAGTTTGAAGTTGTTTCTGCAGACAACCTAGGTAAAGAGTTGATTCTGGTTGATTTCTTTGAGTTCAATGTCAGGATCTCTGGTGGATGCACAAACATGTTGCTCTCCGAGCTCAGCATGCATTTTTAGTTTGTAGTTTGTATATCAATCTCAAAAGGATTTGCACTGTGAACAAATTATTTTCCTGTCTGAAACATGCACAAAATCGGAATAGAGGAAGGAAAATCAGTGGTTAGACTTTGTGGGTTGTGTCTATTGGGCAATGAAGGTCCCAAATAAACTTCTACACATACTTATGTAAGTAGATGGATATTAATGGGAGACCAACAACCTAAAAAGGGAGGGAAAACCCATTATACTAAAAATCTATATCCATTGTACTCGTTTTGCACGTACTTTTGATCAGACTGTTACATTGGATATGCCTTGCGTCTTGAATGTCATCTCACTTCCATAATTGATAAAAGACAGTGCAGATAATGCCCTTGTTATTACCTTTTCACTTTTACTTGATACTTTCTTAAGTATAATTGCAACCCAGTTCTTCAAACATAAAGTCTAAATCAAGTGTCACTTTAGTTATCTTTATATACTCCAATTGCCGATCTGTTTATTGCATTGCCTTCAAAAGACTCACTAGGGATCGTGCGCTTTGTTTGATTTTCACTGCAGATGTCAATGAATGTGCGCAGAGTCCAGCCCCCTGCCATGGCTCTGCAACTTGCCACAACACAGTTGGAGGGTTCCATTGTTCATGCCCTTTTGTCACCAGTTTTGCTAAGGAAACAAACTCCTGCGCCAATCAGTTTACAAGTCAGGTAAACCATGAGAAGTTAGCACCTTGCTTTATTATTCTCACAATCAACAATGCATGCTTTAGATTCTGAAAAATGATCTTTGCTGTTTAGTCTGGTAAATATTTTGTGTTTTCGCAAGAGCAGCAGAGTTGTTTTTCTCTCCATTACCTGGCACTAATGCCTAAGAGGCATGTCACTGTTATGCTCTGTCACGGCCAAAATTTGGTTTGTGCTTAAACATAGTCTGAGGCCACATTGTTGGTCCTATGGTTTTAAAAATGAAAAGTTGCAAGTGCAACTATCACCGGCAATCCACCAACAATAGAAAATTAGTTAAGTACAAAAAGGGAAAATAATTATGCATCTAACTATTATGTATGGATATACTTTTACAGGAGTTGAGCAGGGCACAATCTGTGGCAGGACCGCACTCTCCTACTCATTTGTCTCAAAGCAAAAGAAGCTTGCTGCCTTTGCCTGGAGAGAGTAGAAGTTTCTTTTATCTAATCCAAGATGATCTATTCATGATTAAAACAGCGAGGAAATCAGAAGTTGAGGTAATTTTCTTATTGATGCCACTGTGATGAGCTCTACTCTCTATTGTCGGCATAAAGTAGGACAACATTTTATTTGGAGGTTATATCACTTGTGAAGTAATTTGTAGTGTTGTTTGGATTGCATCCTGTAAATGCCATTAAATATTGTTTCCCATCATGCTGGCCTATTTGAACTAATATTCTTGAGTCTCATCAACTCTGAATATGGTGTATGGTGTACTCACATCCCTGCCATTTGGGAACTAAATGAAATAGTTATTAGTCTTGGACTCTTGGTAATGCTTAGGGCCTGAAATGAGATAAATTATATGGACCGAAGCGAACACAATGTATTTTAATGCAATTGTTCCTTTTATAGGCCAGTAAACAAAATCAAGATTAGAACGCAACGAATGGATCGATTTATAGTTACAAGTGACAAAATTACCTACTATAATTCTTGCAATCACGGTGTTGATACTCATTGTCGTAGGACGCAGTAGAATCAAACACTCCTTCTGGTTTCCTCATTTAGTTTAGAAAGTACTCCCTCTGTAAACTTGTACACCTAAAACGTCTTATAAAAGTTTACAGAGGGAGTAGTATTTATCTAAAGTTTATTTTTCCACTGAAATGTGCAATTTTACACATTCCAGTGCAAGGGCTGCATGTCCTTATAAAGCTTTTTAATGGGTTGAGGTAAGTGCGGGATGGATGAAATTGCTTAGTACCGTCTAATATGGCAATCTGGATTATGATCGGTTCAACTATTTTGTGGTTCCAGTTCTACTAATTGAAGCCGGTGAGTTGGTGTATGCTTGAAGTGAGTCTGGTTCTTGCTTCAATTTCCCCTGTTTCACCTCCAGATCTACTCATTGGGAGATGGATTCCTTGCAGTGAGAGGCTGGTAGGGGTTCTAGTTTAGCACATGATTTTTTTCTTACTTTTGATTCTTATAAGCCTTTTGGACTTAGGTGATCATTGGTACACGATGCAGGTCTGACGCTGTTGTTGATAATCATCCATTCCTATTCTGGACGTGGACGAAGTACACACATGTACACGCAGCTCTTTTTGATCCGTTGCATATCAAAGTATGAGTACATATATCACAGTCCTCTGTAAATACCTAAAGTTCTTTGCTTTGTGTGAAATTGACCTTTGGTTGTGTTCACTTTTTACTTGTATGTGTGCGAATTTATAACCTGGATATTTTCCCTACTAGGCTTCATTCAGACGATGGACTGTCTTGCTCTACTTCGAAATCGAAACAGGTGAGTCGTGTCCTTTTTAGGATTTAACCAACTGAAGTGAAACCAAGATACAGTTGCTGCACCACTTATGAGCAAATTGTACAGGGGAAAGACAGGCAGCTGCTGCAGAACAAGGGAAGGAGTATCAGCTATCTGTTGTTTCAGTTATTTATGTGTGCTGAAGATTGTTCATACCCGTACCCTGAAGAAAGAAGGCAAAATAATCCATAACTATTTCTTGATAATAAAGTAAATAGACATAGATACATAGCTCATTGGCTCCATAACGTTAGTTTGCTAAATAAGTTATATGGATCCTTGCAGACACAAGATAGATTGTAGATATACCTGGAATATGTTCATCCGGGTTCAGTTAATAAGTGCATTAGTCAACATTGTGGTGCAATGACAGAATCTGCTGTCCACAACTTCACCTGCCATATCCTTAAGGGTCTTGCTTTCCTACAGAGCCAAAAAATTATGCATAGGTAATGTTTCTTTTTCGTTGTTCGATTTTTTATCCGATAATGATTTGCCGTTCACTGCTTCCTTACTTTCTGAACCTAACCTTTTTGTTTTGTTGTTTGCGTTATCTCTTATTTTTTTCTTATACAAATTGTCAGATTGCTTTGTTCTATTTAGACCATATAAATGGTTAAGAACTCATTATCTCTTATTTTTCTCTTATACAAATTGTCTGATTTCTTTCTCCTGTTTAGACCATTCAAATGGTTAAGAACTCATCAAGTACTTTCCTTTTGTATGATGTAGATGCCAATAATTCGCTCTTCAGTTTTGTAGCGAAAATAGTACCTGAAGTTTATAGATCTTTATTCCTTCTTGTCGATGAGACGAGGACTGATTTCTGCACATATATTTACTGCAGATTTGGAAATAGGTTTAAAGGAAAGATTTAGAAGGTGAAGGAGCTGATAAAGAGCATGCTAAATTCTCACTGTCTTAATCATTTTTGGTGTACAATGCAATTCATGTATAGGTTTGGTGCTTTGTGCTGACAAGAATTCTCTGATTGGCATCATTTGCAGTAACTGTGGTGATCCAGGACGCTTTCAAGATTACAAGTTCAGTAGTGGCAACTTGAACTTATGTAAGAATAAACAGAATGATTTTTCATCTTGAAGAGTTTCCTAACTGTTGACTTTAAGCCTTCAAAGTTACTCCTTTCGTAAACTAATATAAGAGCGTTTAGATCACTAAAGTAGTGATCTAAATACTCTTATATTAGTTTACAGAGGGAGTACATCGTGGGATTATGAATAAGATGGTGCTAATTATATTTTGAGTGAATTTCTGGTGTGTATTATTCAGAATTTCAGACTGGCCCTTGAACTAAATAAAGAGAAGTCAAATTTTGTTTCTTTGCTGCTCCTGTCTGTCTCTGACAAGCACTGATGCACCACCAATGTAATAAGTTCTTGAACGATTCAAGAGGACTATGAACCATGGATAAATGCAACAACAAGGTTAGTACGCACAGGCATGCAAAGGAGGCGCGCCCCTGCCCCTAGTAAAAGATTGTAGGTGATTGCTCTATAGTAGATAGTAAAAAATGGATGTCCAACAAGTTATTCGAATTCAACGATTGAGTCAGAATCGACACAAGTCATCCCACACACTGTTGCCCTTGGGCTTCATCCAATAATGTACTCTCTCCGGTCATTTTTAGTTTGCATATAAGTTTTGCCTGAAATCAAAGTATCTATACTTTAACCAAATTTATAGAAAAAAGTATCAACATTCATTATGTCAAATCAATATTGTTAGATTCCTTATGAAATATAGTTTTATAGTATATATATTTAGTATTATAAATGTTCATATTTTTATATATTATTAAAGTTTGCAAAAGAATTGACTTGCACAAATCTAATATGCGAAGTAAAAAGGACCGAAGGAAGTATGAATGTAGGACAAATATGAGTGTTTCGAGGTTCCATGTTGAAGATGACCTTACTGACTGACTTTGTTCTAGTTCTCGTGAGGTGCTAGATTTGTGGCATGGATGTTTAGGCAAGCACCCAGTTTCTGCAAAATAACGACGGCTGAATAATTGATGTACGATCTAAGCGCCAATGTGTTTGCCGACGGGGACGACTCTTGAATAGCTGCCAAATTAAGGTGCTTAACGTATCTATGCTGTGGCAAACTGGCAATCATCAATAGTATGAACCATCCGGTTAGACTGTGCTACCAATAATCACGTGAAGAAAAGGACAGGGGTGATTAAAATTGTAGGGGCCTGGAGGCCTCGAATTGGCCAGGAACAGTGAATGAACGTGGATTTTGATCTAGTGACACACCTTTGTTTTGGTTTGGACGGTGACTAGGATGGTTATTTTCATCGTCCTGCCCTTGCTGAAATCGTCAAAATATACGGGGTTTTTTGTCTCGACATGCATTCATTAAAAAGAAAAAGGTTGTTCAGTTAATTAGGAAAAACCGACCGAAAACCAAATTGTTCAGTTGATTATGAAGAGACGGTCCAGTCTTCGTATGTCTTTGTTCGTGTGTCTACAGATTGGACCCTTTCGATTTACGGGTTTCTTCATCGGTGACGGTTATTGTTCTGGCTCGCTGGTCATATGAGGCGGCTTTTCTACTGTTACTACAACAAGGTTTGCCCGGCTCTGATGAGGGTGGAGCGTTGACAGCGGCGCGCTTCCGGCTCACTCCAGTGTTTGTAATCATCGCTAGGTGGTCTACGGATCTGAATGTGTTCTTTACTTCCGGTGTTCTTTGTACTATCTTGACAATTGCTGAACACATCAGAAGTTTTCCTTGCAATTTTTTTATGGAGAGGCGGAAATCATCACAACCACTGAGGGGTACACATAAGAAACCACACGCACGCCACTCCAAAGAGGGCATCATCATCATCACTTCTCCCCTGGAGGCGGCATCGCCATCCATAAACTCTGGCCAAATGACACCGACTTCGCCGTCGACGATCCTCGACTCAACCCACACTATAGCGGACGCTTGAAGCTGCATGAAGATCTGCGCAAAAGCTCGGCCACCTACGGCCAGGCAGCACAACTCTGACTCTGGCGGAGAACTCTGAGGACATATCCAGGCATGGCAGGTGCCATGGAAGATTACCAAACGGGCCACCTGTAATTAGTCATCGTACACCACATGGCCCCGCCGCCGCAACTTCGACTCCACAACAACAAACAAACCGAGGCAATATCGTGGACACGCCATAGAAAAGTCGACTACCACAACCTTTGTCGCGTCACCGACATTGTCCCCACCATCATCGTTGCCACAAAAGTCTAGACGCCACAACCGTTGCAAACCACCGGTCAATATACCGGGTTTGGAATGTGTCGTAGTCCGTCGCGGATTGGATGACCTAGAGTTACTGACATGCGGGGCGCTAAGTCATCCAACGTTACATCGGCTAATCTGAGCTCATCGTAGTCGATCTCTTTTGATTTACATCAGTTTTATAGGAATTCTATGTGATAGTATTTTGTAGTTTTCTAAGCCCTTTAATTCGCAATATATACAAGATTAAATTCCATCCTTTAAGGGCAAAGGAAATGTTAGCTCACTCTAAAAGAAAATTCTAATATGTAAACCGACGGATATCTCCTTTTCTATTTATATTCATAGAATTTGAGATACATACCATATCACTTTCTATAAGTTTCATTTTCTATGATACTCTTATCATATGGACGAAAGGAGATCTTAGTCTACTACTTCTAGTTTTAAGGAATGAAAACACGGAAAATTGGCAAGAATATGTAGGCCGAATGATGAAAAAGG